CTTTTCATGTATTTAGCATTTTAGTTTTTTTTCTTCTTAAGCGTTGTAGCTATATAATTTCAAACATCCTCAAGAGCTATAACACATCTGCAGCAGAACTGGATATGAAGACAAAATTGCAGGACAGGAACACTTTAATTGTCCACTAATCTTCAGATTTCCTGCTATGTTTTAAAAAACTTTATTTGTGAAAACCTTCAGCGTGGCGGACAGCTGGCCGCCTTAGGCGGCTAGTGTTATAATAAAATCCCGAAGAATACGCCCTAGCCACAGTTAAAGATACGAAGAATTAAAATTTTAAACAATTAGGATAATCGAACTAAATAAAGGGTTTTCTTATAATAAATATTTTAAAAAATATTATAGTATAATAGTTTTGAACTAATAAAAAATTTTATTGAATTATGAGCACTTTAACGAGAAGAAGTCTCACGACAAAGGAACTCAAAAAATTACTAGCTTTTCCCATGAGATGATTTTTTTTTGTCGTGGGGAACCCGCATCTCTGTGGGTGGTAGATATAATAGAAGGAATATTTTAATCAGTGAAGAGAGTGTTTACACTGTTTCTTGATTCTTGGAAGGAGAGATAACAAGTGAAAATAAGAAAAAGAGTTTTTTTTTCTTTTTCTAGGTAACAAGTTTCAAAAAGACCGGCGATTTTTAAAACTTGCAGAAAGTTGGGATTTTAGGGTTTTGTGTCTCCTTTTTTTAGTGACGATAACTGTTGGATTCGTACGTTACTCCTTTCAGCATATTGAGTCTGATGAAATATTTCAAAAAAGTAATCAAAAAATCTCACTCAGCTTTTTTTTAGATATTTTTAAATAATGCATAAAAAATTGCAAATTTGAAATTTTAGAATTTTTTGCAGATTGATGGGGATTTTTTAAAGGTATGTTTCTTCCCATTTTGGTCATGAAACAAAATCCACTAGATTCAAATAACAAGTGTATATGCCAAAACTTGGTCTAAAAGGCTACTTGAATCGAATTTCTTACCTTTCCTAAAATTTTTATTTAATAGTTAATTAAATAAAATCCCAACTAAAAATTTAACTGAATTATAATTTTACATAAAAGATCTCTTTGTCACACTAATAGAAAAAAAAATAACTCAAATTTTTCAAGCAATAAAATTGCACCAAATGTAGTAATATTGCAACTTGCAGCTAAGGAGGTTAAAGGTTAAAAGAAAACGAGAAGAAAAAGTTCAACATTACATCTAACATTTTATTTTGCAGAATTTCCACAAGTTACTTGTAACAGGGACAAAATGTTTATAAACACAATATAATGATAGCTTACAGCTTTTATCGATTAAATAAGGCAGCAAATAATTGCAGATGACTACTATAAAGAAGATGAGTAGAAAAACTTATACATTTAACATTTTATTTTGCAGATTTGCAACAAGTTATTTGAAACAGGCTGCAATTATTTGGGATTATTATTATCGCCGAGTGTGCAAAATTTCTTTTTTTCTCTTTGTTAACTAACAGTACAAACCTATAAAAAAGTATTACCCTAAATAATCTTTGATTAAAGCAACGCCATATATTCAGTTGTAACTTCAATGCTTCAAATGATATACTTTAAGTACACCTACGTAATTATTTTTTATTTCGAATACATTTTTCGACAGACAAAAAGACGTTTTCTCCGAAAAAAAATAAAATTTTTTGGTGGGTTAAAATTTTTATCACACCGAATATGACTAATTTCTCAAATCGGAAAAATCTTGGGCAGATTTATTATTTTTTTTTGTGTGTTAAGAAAAAAGGTGTACTATGTGTCGAAGAGTTTTGGTGCACTATGAATGAAGGGTTTGGGTCAGGGCTCGAAAAACAGCCCGTCCTCGACTGTCAAAAATTCTCCGCGGACAACTAATTTCTCGAATCCGACGTCCGCGCGTTAATGTTCGTGTTTCCCGTTAATGTTCGTGATACATTTTCAATTTTTGTTATCTTACAAGAGTCTTGTAAGTTACAAGGCAGCAAAATGACCCACAATACAGCAACATACTGTGCATATATTGATGTTTTCTCTGTCTGGGCGTACTACAGCGGTTAAAAGGGGCTTTGCAGCAATAAACTTACAAAAAAACACAATACGTACTGGTCTTAAACAAGAAGCTTTAAAAGCAATTATGAACATCTACCTAAATGGAAAACCCCTTTCAGATTTCTGTTCAGAAACCTCTGTAAATCATTGGCTTGATTGTGGAACTGGCAAACGTCATATTTGATTCATTTAAAAAACGCAGTACCCTCGAATAACTTGACTTTCCATAACTTGACCCTTGTCATTTAAATTATTTCATAAAAGAAATACTAGTTTACTATTAGTAACCTAGTATTTCTTTTATTAGTGTATAATGTAATCCTAGTAACGACTAATTCATTGTGCAATTTATATAAATGTTTGTAATAAATAGGAGAAAATTATATTTTTATTTATTTAAAAGCGACGGGTTAGTTTCAGCGGAGGACGGGTGCATTGTTGAACAAGCCGTCCTCGGGGACGGGTAAAATTTCTGAGTTTTTTCGAGCCCTGGTTTGAGTGCACCTAAGTTTGAGTGTGGAGCACTAATTTGTTGTCTGAAATTAAAATGTTTAAATTCCCTGAAGACGCATCGCGCCGAATTCAATAAAGTAATTCATTAAAGAGTAAAGATTTTTTTTTTTTGAAAAAAGAAGAAACAATTACGTTCTCCTATAACGTCAAAGGAGAACAGCAAGACTTCCTGTAGTGTCTTAGGTAGATGGTAAAAATGCATATTTAGACACTAAGAGTAATTTTTTTTGCATATTTAGGGAAATACTTTTTTTTAGATCACTGTACTTTATATATGCTTCAATAATATTCAAAATAAAATGAGTAAAAACAAAAGTTTTAGGAACATAAATAAAGAGACATGAACAATTTTTTTTAAACATAAACTTTGCACTGCTACGAAAGTTCTGTCAGTATTGGCATATGAAATTGAAACTTTCTTTATTTATATCATTTGTTCTTATTCGCTATTCAGTAAACTGACTTAGAGTAAAAAGGATTGTTGTTTCTAAAAAACTTTATACATTGAGGAAGAAACGGCATAAATGTTTCATTTACCAAAAAGCCTACAGTTAGTAAAATAATGAGCTAAAATGAATTTTTTTTGAAAATCGATCTTCGTAAGAAGTTACTATAACCTTTACAGAGTATAGCAAAACATGCCAATAGTCAAACTGTATTATCTTTTACTAAAAAACTTTATTTTAAAAATCTAATTGCATCAATAAAACAAAAGTTACAGATCCCATTTTAATTATTAACGTTATACTGTATTATCTTTTGCTTTAAAACTTTTTATAAAAATTGAATTGCATCGATATAGCAGAAATTATCTATTTGCTGAGTGAATTTAAATGATTTTATGAATAAACGAATTCCATGTTCTAAAAACATTTTTTTAAGCAAAATAAGGTTCTAAAGTCCATATTGATTAAATTGTATATAATCTAATAAATTCGGACGAATAGTTTCTGTGGTATTAATGGTTAGAAAAAGTTCTCTGATGTTATTTAATAAGCAGCATGTTAAACAACTTTGTATGAATTTCAAAATAGCATATTAAAAAACATTGTAATTTTTTTAGAATTCTCGAATTCCTGAAAAAATTCCAACGCGTAAACCAACTATAAACTTTCAGAAAATGCAAAAGAAATGATTTTTTTTTCAGACAATAATACTTCAAATATTTATCTAAAGGTGATTATCCTCAATGGTATGTTATAAATAAAGACAGAGATTATATGAAGCGATTAAGAATTGCATTTTTTTGTGAGTTTTTTATTTAGTAATAAATTTTTTTATCTCTCAACTTGCTCCGCAAATTCTCTTCGTTGTCAAAACCGGTTTTAGGTTTAAAAGCTTAATTTGACAAATATTGTATCTCCATAATTTGGGTTGCACTGAGATGCGCTGCGTAACAAAACCATATGAAAAATAAAAAATATAAATATTTCAAGGGAATATCATGATCGATAAACTAGACTTAAAAACAGCAGATACAGTAATAAATTTTAAAATTACACTTAATTAAATTTTTTTCATTCAAAATTAAAACTGCAGCAAAACACCTTCGAAATTGCCTCAATCATAATGCAAAAAAAAATGATGTCGAATATACTTAAAAATATTTATATTGGCTTAATTATTTTCATAACTTTTGAAGCATATTTCTCAAAATTAACTTCTCATTAAAATTTACGATGCAATCCAACAAGAAGTTTATATTAAAATTAAACTGACAAAGCTTAAGTAACAAGCAACACTATAGCAAAGAATATTATAGGGTTTCTTTTGCATAAATAACTAAAACTGTGTGCATCATTTTACAATTTTTACAAAGCTCATCACAAATTTAAACATATATTTTACACAATATATTTTAAATATATATATAAACACAATATATACACAATATATTTTAAATATTACTTTTATAAATGGTATTTTTTACAGACTTAACAGTTACCATCATATTAAATTTTTAAAAATTAACAACAATTAACATCTATCATCATACTATATATGACATAAATGAAGAGACACATTTAAATGGACAAACACCATTTTTTTTACTTCCGATATATATTCATTGAAATTCGCAACTACTATAATAAGTTGATTTTTTTATTATTATGATGACATTAGTTAGAAATTTGCAAGCAAATATCCGGAAATCAAGTTTCTAAAACTGACGGAAACAGTATTTAATGATTGCCAAGATTTAATGACAGTTGGTTTAAATAGTATCAGTGACTAGTGGAGTTTTAGATGTAAGTTAAGAGACTTATAAAAATGAGAGCACCAAGAGTATGAAAGCACTCTTTTTAAAACTAAATTTGACGTTAGATTTTTTTAATATACTTTTTATTGAAGTTCTTAAGCTCGTTATTATTTTAACTATAGACGTCTAAGAAAATCTCAGCTCTGTAAAAACTCATTATTAAATTGGCGCTTCTAAGAATTTTAAACGTATTTAAAATTAGTATAAAATTCCAAGAGTCTTTCACTATTTAACCGTATTATATTATATATAATGTGAAAACTACAATTAACAAATGCGTAATATCACTTTTTAATTGACTAATGCATGTCAAAGAAATTACCTAATGTCTTATCTGACAAGGTAAGAATAACTAAGTAGCTTTATTTGCCCATATTATTAAAAATCATTGCACATAAAACAAATTTATAAAAACTTGATGTAAACAGTTTTTATAAAAACTTGATGTCAAAAAAGTTATGATGTCAGAAATCAGTACTTAAGTTATTAAAGTCCCGTGATATGATAACCAGCTCTTCATACATATCCAACTCAGGGTAGCAATTTTTCCAGCTTCCGATAGACCATTGATAAACTTCGTGGTTACAATTCTTATAAAGGTTAGTCAAAAATGCCAACAAATTTTGGGGAAAAGTTTTTAATTTGGAGTAGCGATCATCATCAGGAGAAATCCAGTCTTCAATCGATGGAGATAACATATTTTTTTAATTCCTGTAAAATAAATAAAATCCAAAAATCAGTTTTCAGTATTCGTTACATGTATAGTTTAATTTGTACAGTTTGTTTCTTTTAACTTTTAGAGCAACCTAGGGTATTTTTCCCAGCTTCCACTGGACCACAGAAAGAGACTTTAGTGGAGATAATGAACTTATAACCTACAAAACATGAATACAGTTCCAACACAAGAAGATCCTTGGTATGTAGTTATAAAAACTTTAAAACGAAAAATGTTTCCTTCAACTAACTATACAAAATAGCCAGCAGGGGCAATGAAATTTCTTATCGGTCTGGAAATTTTGGTTTTAGGAGGCTGATGAGAAGTCACTCATCTTAAGAGGAGGCAGAAGAAAGCCTTCATTGGAAGTTCTCTTTCATCTTCAGAAGTAACTTACAATTTAAAGTACATAATAAATAAGTTCAGATAAACCTTGAGTAAGTCCTAAAGCTCCAAATGCTGAAAATATTTTTTCAAAATATTGAAATGCAAACAATGGCATATTTATTTACTTTTTACACTTCATAAACTTAGGTAATCCTGATATAATGTGCTTGTATTTTGATATTTCTAAATTTTTTTTCCAGTATTTGAAATTTACAGATTTGCATGAATTCACTTAAAATTGCTCTAAACTTTAAGTTTTAAATTACCAATGGAAGTGAAACAGAATTTATCACGAAAAGTTTCTTCCGTCTTCTTAATCAGGAACTCGACTATCTATCAGCAATGTTTATCTGTGTCCATATTAATACCTTTCAGACCAACGAAGAGTTTAATCAGAAAACTGGTAGTTAACGATGAAGGATATTTTTTCAATTGTTTTGGTGTGGACGACAAATCTTTCACACGAATAGCGCTTCCCTGTCCATTCTGAAATTCTTTTCTCAACGTTTTGAGATAAGAAGCATCGTTTTGATAATTAAGAACGTAAATGATAACTCTTCATTATCAGTTGACCATCTTTTCTGTTAAAGCGAAGCTCAAAAGCTAATAACATGAACATTACCAACCCAATCTGTAGATTGAATCGGGTATTCCATTAAAGTGAGGAATCCAGTGTCTTCCGCAATTTTTGTAGGTAATTTGCGCATTTATGCTTTTCGTATCGTTAAAATGGAAAAGTTTGTTTCTCACATACTGTCAACTAATTTGTTGATTGTTTGGTTGCATTTATTTACTTTATTCTTTCAATGTAATTCTTTATTGAATAATAAATAAATGCCATTATGTTAAATTCATCAATTGTAATAATACTTTAAATACTTCCATTAGTTGTATTAGGGTTATTAAGACGATTGATTCTTTCAATTAATGTGTTGATTGTTTCATTGTAGTAAATTGATGTTCAAAATAGTGAAAAATATACGAATAACGTCATTTTAATTTAAGCACACAGAAACGTTGCTGTTGTTCAGGTTATTTACTCTTTAACGAGTGGCTAGTGGGTAATGTGTGCGTAGAGTATTTAGCTATATTGCAGATTACGAGGGTTGCTATTTATATTTCTGGCCTTGGCAACAGTAAGTGTTGCTAGGCGACCGCAGACGATTTTAATCGAAAGTTAGATATTTTTAAACATAAATTCAGCAGACGATTTACCATTATAGCTTCATTTGTGTTGTTGACAGTAAATTGAAAAGTTCTTCTCTTTCAAAAAATGGAATTAAATCGTGAACATTTTCGTGCCATTATTTTTCATAACTTTCGACGTTTTTGTCAAGACAAGAGTGCTTCGATGAACTTAATTCTTTATTCAGCGATAAAGCGCCATCCCACAGCACTGTAAAAAATTGGTATAACGAATTTAATCGTGGTCGATGTTCAATCCAGGACAAATCCCGTGCAGGTCGTCCAAAATCCGTTGTTGTGGCGGAAGAGATCGATGCTGTGCGTGAACTGATAAAGCAAGATCTTCATGTGACATACCGTGAGGTAGAACCGTCTTTGGACATTAGTATGACTAGCATCAATAAAATATTGCATGAACGTAAAAAAAATTTGTTCGCGTTGGATCCCGCATAATCTGACAAACGCTCAAAAAAAGGCTCGTGTCGATTGGTTACAAGGAAATTTTGGAAAAATACGTTCCAGGTACATCAAAGGCTGTGTATAACATCTACACAGGTGACGAATCATGGATCTATGCATATGAGCCGGAAACAAAACAGCAATCAACTGTATGGGTCTTCCAAGACGGGGCAAAACCAACAAAAGTTGTTCGAGGAAGAAGCACATCGAAACAAATGATTGCCTGTTTCTTCGGCATTAACGGTCATGTGACAACAGTGGCGCTAGAGCAACGCAGGACGGTCAATTCTGAATGGTACACGACCATTTGTTTGCCAGAAGTCATCGGAGAAATTCGAAAAAAGCAGAAGAACAGGCGAATCATTCTTCATCATGACAATGCGAGCTCTCACACATCGACTCAAGCAAAGGCATTTCTGACGGAGCGAAAGATCGAACTGATGGGTCATCCGCCGCAACGCCCTGATTTGACACCCAATGACTTCTTCTTATTCCCACAAAAATAAATTACGTGAACAACGATTTTCGACCCCCGAAGAAACGGTTGATGCATTCAAAACGCATGTTTTGGAGTTACCTCAATCGGACTGGAAAAAGTGCTTTCAAAATTGGTTCAAACGGATGCAAAAGTGTATTGATCATCATGGAGAATATTTTGAAAAACAATAAAACCAATTTCGATCCTACATATTTGTTTTTTCATTATTAGGCCACAAATATAAATAGCAACCCTCGTACCTTGGTCAATTGAGAAATGAATCATTTTTTCTCACTTTAACGTATCCCCCTAGTTAATCTGTAGATTAGCTACATAATCAGAATAACAATAGATTTTTGCACTTCAGCGGTAACCTATCTAAAAAATACGTTGTTTTAGAATAGTTTATGCAGAAATATAACTTTTCTGTCAGTAAATTGTTAAAGCTTATTGTTTCTTTTAACTCTGAAATACATGTGATAAAACTTTTCTCCTCTATATTGTGTGCAGGTCTCTGACTTTTCAAACCCAAAAGAATTGCTTGGCGATTCTGTTGAAATCCTTCAAAAAATATTAAAATCTTTCTAAATCGCGTACCTGCAACTCAAGAAGAAGAAGACCTCTGAAATCATATGGTTGTGTATGAACAAGGTGGTGTGAAAGCGTCACAGCTATTATACTTGGTTTACTATCAGGCTAAATTAATTTTTATATCAGATTTAATTGGCAATTCAGATCAGATTTAATCGTAGAATGTACGAATGCTACGATTCCACAGTCAATCAGGTTAGACAACGTCATGTGACGTCACCTGCAGATACCCAACTGTAAATTACATTTAAAGACGATGTTGTCGCTAGGCATATTAAACTCGGTAAATCTGAACGAAACGTTTGTTTTTATGGAGGAAGGAAAATGATGTAAACTAATAAACAGTTCGGCAATTAATTATTTAAAAAAAACGGATCGTATCTTATTGCATTATACATACAAGACATTGATACTTACATACTTCTTGTCTCAGAAAGTTGAAGTTCTTTAGCGGCTTCCGTAAATCTGAAAATATATAACACAAATAGTTTTCTTAATAAAAATTTATATACTACTTTACATATTTTATGAACCGTGATAAAAAAAAATTGATTTATGATGCAGGAGTAGAAAATGTAGTAAAGAAAGTAGTTTCCTTTTCACATAAGTTTATTTATTTTTATTTCATTTATTTATTTTTATTTCATTTATTTATTTTTATTTCATTTATTCATTTTTATTTTATTTATTTATAATTTTTTTTTCATCGAGTTAATGTTTTTTTGTTTCAAAATTGCAAGTATGAGAAACATAAGATTATGAAAATTCATTTCGTACATTAACGCATCGTTACAGATAATTTTGGTCAGATGATTGACAGAAAAAATATTTTGGATCTTGCACTGTTGGTTGATTGTTCACTCGAAAAACTTTTTTCCAAGTTTATCTGCCCTAAGACATACTTCATTAACAATCAAAAATGTTTTCCCAATCTACAGATGTTTAGAAGCGTACCAATCATGTCTCTTCATTTTATTAAAAAGTTTCAATGAAAATTGTTGATGAATGTTTCAAAATACTTTTTTCCCAAAAATTTATTTCTGGATTTGATTTTATTCTGGTTCCAAAATTCAGTAAATATATTTATTAGATTTTTTCACCTGTCGAATGAAATAAACGTAGCATGGATGCAAGAAATGCAATACATTTTGGGAAAATGGCTTTAGAATCGAACTCTTTCATTATTGAAACAACCGTTTAAAATATTATTATTTTAACCATGATATCTTATTGAAATGATGAACTATACCTACAATTAAAATAACAAGTAAAGTTTAATCATTAAAAAAGGCTCAATAAATAAAGTATAATTATTTTTAAATTGATACTAATTGGAAGCCAAAAAATCTTTATTAAAGAAAAAACTTTAATTAAAATGCCAAGTTATGGCTTAGTAAAATATCAATTAGGACAAAAAACACAGTAAAGATAAAAAAACACAGTCTTCGATGAAAGGGAATCTACGTATTCTTATTAATTTGCTTAAAATAAAACTTTGATTTTAAACCATGAAATCTCGTTTTTATTACAAATAATATCAGGCTGCTGCAATTGCAACTTACAGAGAATAGGCAACATAAAAAAATTTCACTGGGTAATATAGTGCCTAATGGTGATTAATTGTGTTTCTAAGATGCATTGCATAAGTTGTTAATTAGTTGGAAGTTAAAGTAAAGCCTAAAATCACACTTTTTTGATTTTGTGACCATATGGTTTAAAAATATTTTGGGTAAAGGTAACAAATTATTTCTCATTTAATGTTGATTTTGCAATTATTTGTGATGCCAAAATCTTGGCTTCGTTTCTAACTGGACTAACTAGATCGCTAGCGAAGCGAGCTTAGTCCGCAAGCAAGTAGTGCTGGAGCGTGCTACTACTTAACATTATAGTTTTCCATACGCAGATTAGTACGAAAAGTATAGTGTTTTTGTGTGAAAATATCCGACAATAAATATATTTTTCTTCACTTTTTAATTTATGTGTTGTATGTGGAACTAATTCGTTTATATTTTATTATTGGCTGATAATACCCCTTAAAGAATTGAGTGTTTCAAAGCTTTATAAATTTTTTCTAAAAGAGTAAAACCAAATTATGAAATATACAATAAAAAAAGTCTTTTTTAATTACTTGAGTATCTGTTTTCCAGCTCTTCTTTGATAGTCTTCTTCCCTGTTAAACAAAAAGTATTTTAAATGAATTACGTTTAAATATAATTTCATGTAATAATAATTGTAAATGATGTAAATTCTATTTAAGAGGCCATTATTTTCCTCGACAGAATTCATCTCTCGGAAGAGTGGAGATAGGGGAAGAAAATTCTTTTGGATTGTTCGGAAAGTTATATCGTTTATTTAATTATTTTTTGTTCTTATAAAAATGAAGGACTGATATTGTTATTGTGAATGAATTGATTGAAATATATTATTGTCCATTCTGGGCCCTTGTCATCTTTTTGTTAGTTGCATGTTTCCTAGCTCATAAAATGTTTGTTCTAAAAAATTATCCAGGTGACTTTTGATCCCTTCATTTGAAGTGAAAGAATTACAGTATAAATTTTTTCGTAGAGATGAAAATTATAAGCAAATCACTTCTCGTCCCCAGTGATGATGCTCTTCAAAAATGGATAATTTTCTTGACGTTTGTGAAGCAAATCACAGACGTCTAATACGACGCCAATTTCTTTCCGTAAGAACTCATATGACCAGCTTTGCGATTCAAATTTAGGTTTTCCAAATGATGATAAACGGTTGAATTCGACGAATCTACTCCCTCAATGATCGTTAAACTTCAATTAATGCCTTTATTGTATCTTTATCAGCCTAAACTGGCTCTTTATGCCTCTTAATCGAAATGTTACAAGTCAGTTTTAGCACTCTTATAATGTCAATAATACATCTTCTCTATACACATCGGATAATTTTTTTTCTTGTTTTAACACCATTTTTACTTTTTCGATGGAAAAAAAGTAAAATAAGCACTTTCTTCATTTGAAAAGGCACCAACCAAAAACTACGGCATAGTTTTGAACTTTTTTGCAAGTAAGCCTTCCTGTATCAGCTTTCAAAATTTATAATGATTATACGACTTAAACGTGAAGTTGGCTGTGAATAAATACAATGAAGTTCTCTGGAAAAAAAAACACTTTTTCGAACAACCCTATTATTGAATAATTGAAATATTTTTTTAATTGATCTGATCATTGAATTTTTTTTCTCTATTCGGCAAGATTTTTCGATTTATTTAAAATGTAACGTCATCATTCAATCGCTGTTTGAGATATGGATATACATACGGAGTTTAATTTTGGAATAAATACTACAAAATAAAATACGTAGTTGTCATTAGTTTTAAACGAAAGCAGTATGCTTTCATGGTCTTGTATATTTATCACTGGGACTTGTATTTTAAGATAAAAATGAGGAATTCTTGCATTAAATTCAACCTAACTTACATATTTAGCTGTCTTTATTTTCGGGTTAGTTCTAAAAAACTTCTTCAATTTCTTTGTACAAATATAATAATTTTAGAAATTTTGTTAATCTTATTATATTAAATCCAAGTATTTCTGGGTACGCAAGTATATTAAGCATTGTCAACTGTATTCCCTATAATATGAAAATTAAATTTGATAAAAGTAAAGTTATTTAAGACTAACATTAATTTAATACCTTTCTCAATAAATAAAATGCATTAATATAATCAGTAGTCTTTTTTTATACCGCATTCTTGAATGGGGTGCCGCATGGGCATCGCAGGAAAATTTGAGGACGACGAAATTAAACTAAAGAGTCATGCTCAAAAAACTTTAAAATCATCAAAATATCTTATATGTGGTTAATACCTCCTAAAAGATAACTTCAAAGAATTCAAATCACTGATAATCCACTCACAAATATTTTTATTGGTCGGAGATATTCAAGGAAGTGGGTTTAAGATGTCTCATGATTGAGGTGGGGATATACCCACCGTCCTTTACCTTCGTTGATTCTCATGGAGTGCAAAATAAAATCAATTTTTAGAAGCATCCTTTACATTTGCATTATATATTTTTATAGAATTCGAAAACCATTATATAGCTGCTTAATGTTTTGATTTTATTAAAATTCGTTATTATTCCTTACACTTCCTTTCCCGCCAACATATATGAATACGTAAAGTTAAAAAAAAGCGAGCTCTATCAATAAATTAAAGCAATCAAAAGCCAATATATGGATTCCTTAAATTTTCCTTGAGAAAGCTATTCTAACGTATACATCTCACTCACAATTTTGATTTCTTGATGAACGAACGTCTCCTATGTGGCTTGTCCCTGCTGCCACGCTCTCAGATCCATTTTCAAATTTTATTATTTAGTAATTCATGTAATTGATTAAAAATTAAGAATGCTTTTTATGTTGAGGGAGCTCAATATTTTTATTAATAAACGAGTATTATTAGTTATCAAATTTATTCTTCATAGTAGCAGTTTACGATTTTTAATATAATTGCCTTCCTATAGCATTAAGTGGAATAATTAGCAATTGAAAATAAATCATCAACATCTTCAACGAAACTTCCTTCATGAGCATCAAACTAAACAACAGTGATACCCGTTAGTTTTTCTTATTTTATTATATGGTAAATAATATTTCATCCATAACTCATTTTAAATCTCGGAAACCAAAATTTTAAGAAATACCTTTTTTTAATCCAACAATAAATTACCATAATCCAAATGCATACATGCTGTTATTTAATCCTACCATAAATTATCAGCAACCTATTTAAGGTAAAAGAGAAGTTACTAACTTATTTGCTTGCTTTTCCATTTAGGAAAGCATATTTACTTGGAAGCGAATGCAAGAAGTATATAATTTTTTTTTTCAATCACAAGATAAAAATCATTATACAGGAAACATGCGAGGTTTGCCAGGCATTTTATTAAAATATTTTTTCTAACTTTATTTTAATTCACCAATTTCCAAGATGACGTTATTTGATTAGGATAGTTTGACCCACAATGTAGGAGTTTTGACCCATAGGAATTTAAGAAAGAGTAATTAAAGCGTATACATCAGCAATTAAATGTTACGTGCGACAGTTTTGTCTGAAGAAATATCATACATTTATTTATTGATGGAAAATAATAATTCTGTATTGAAATTGTTAAGCAATTTTAGTTTGTATCTGTAAACTAAACTGTTTGATAGCAAGTTTATTTAGTTTTGATTTTCGGTTATTTCTTGGTCTTCTTCGTTATGGGGTTATTTTTAGTTTTTTTATTATTATTATTGTTCTCTTTTCGGTTTCACCTATGATAAGAGAACTTTTCCAAATCCTGAATTCGGTATGATAGCCAGAATCTTTCCAATTTGCCATTTTGAAAAGGAAAAAAGTATAAGAAAATCATAAAAGGAAAGTTTAAGTAACAAGTAGGTGCAGTGAATTTTTGTATATTAATCTAAGTACACATAGAACTCAGCTGTTTTCTATAGATGATAATTGCAAAGGACATAGGAAAAAAGCAGAAAAAAATCTAGATGAAAATGAAATCATCTGTGGTTCTTTCTTGCTTTTACTTGCAATTGGTTTGATATACAAAAACATTATGTTGATCTGTTTGGAGGAATGGGAACACCAACGATGAACGAATCCAGTCGGTAAGCAGATGTGGTATACAATGTAAAAAAATAATATTAAAAATTTCTTACTTGCATTCGGTGAGTGGAAGTAGATGTTTTCCTTTAAAGTTTGGTATCCGATAACTGTTTCGCTGCAGAAGGAAAATATTTATGATTGAGCAAAATGAGTAATTAAAAATATACAATATTGTAGCATGATGCTCACAGCTATACATATCTTATTTAAACTAATCATCAGAAACATAAAGTTGTGCAATTACGTCAAAATTTACAAACAGAAATCATACATTTATCAGATAGGCTACTTCGATGCACGCGAAATAAAAATACGGAACCTTTACACCCCTCGTAACTAAAACATCTTTGCAGTGGAAAAAAAATTAGTACGAAATGTGTTAAATCAATTTTCCCAGACATCTAGGAAATCAACACACATCAAGCTTCAATAGAACATATTTTGGATTTTCAAAAAAAGATTTGATAACAGATTCCTTCAATACAAAACTAATACAAAATAATCAAAAATTAATGAAAAATATGTGTCAAAGGGTAACTTCGACGCCTATTTTTCATTATTTTTTTTATCATTTTGTGTTAATTTAAGTCAAAATAAGAGCAGAATATTATATTTAGCATTTTAAGAATTTATAGTTAAGAAATACCGGTATCTTTTTCTGTGTTAAAATTAAAAGTTTGGAAGCACGACTCACATCCAAACAATTTTCAAATTGGCACTTGTATGCAGTTATTTAGATATAAGATTCCGTATCTATTATTTAAATTTCTTTGATTAAAAAAAAATCAATTACTGATAAATTTTTGAGAACTAATGAAAAAAAAAATCCAAACTTCGTTTTTTTATATTATATTTTAGCACAAATACAATTTTGATTATCTATCAAAATTTATTTAGTAATTTAGCAACTATTAGACGGTTGCTTATAATTAAAAGATACCAAAATATATTTTTGCTCGTAATTAAAGTGTCAGAAAAAACATATAAAAGAGGCACCAGTGTCCCATCTGTGTCAAAGGGCTAGCTCTAATCATAATCAGCAAATCAGTAGAGCTAATCTGACTTTTGTTTTACAGTCAGTTCAGAGGATAAATAGCAACGAGACGACATCAGTAACATTTTTTGAGGCAGTTTTTTTTACAAAAAGCTGATGAAATAAATCTTATAAATGATCAATTAAACGAACCAACAAATAAAACTAAGTTAATTTTTTTAAAGCTTAATCATTTTTCCTTTTATTTTAAACAAGCTGAATACCTGTTCTTCGTACGGGGTGAAAAAGGAAAGAAAATAATCATTAAATTGATATTAATCCCACCACGAAAAATTGCTCTTACTGAAAGGCATATACATTCAAAATTAATAGGGTATAAATAATTTCTATTTTTATATATTTCTTGTTATTTGTTGCCTTTCTCGATGTCTTTACATTATCGGATGAAGAAAGATACACTCGTGAAGTTTAGCTCATCAAAATAAAGTTTAACTATTATACATTCTGTGTTGTACAGAAAATATAACAATGAATGGCTTTGTTTACATACATGTAGGTAATAGTAAAGGTTAGTGAGGGGTCAATAAAAGAAGCCAAGATTTAGAGGTTACTTTCTGCTTTGCGTTATGCGTTCGTTCAATTAAACATTCCTTATTGAGTTCATTTGCTGTTATAAACCAGAATTGAATGAATTCGGTTGTTTATAAGCATAGAAGTTCAAGTTCATAACGAATTTTTTATAAATTTTGAAAATTCAACCAAACAAAAATGGTCTTAAATTAAATTAATTTCAGGTAAGCTAAATGGATATTTTTTTCTAAATTAATCCCAATTCCAAAAATATTTTAACATAACATTACTAAAAGAAATGCCCTTATAAAGGTTTCAGTTACTTTCCTCTAAATGATTTTAAATAAAAAACAATAAGAATAAATGACATTTCAAAAAGCAGCTCAAATATCTCTAATATATTTTACTCATTTCGATCAATATTTCATTTTAACGTGAATCAAATAGTTAAAAACTAAATCCATAAATTAACTGTTAGATAAATTATTTGTGCAGTTGCCTTAAAAATTGTTAGAACAAATACTATTTATGCATTTCTCAAAACACGAACAACATATCTCTTTGCATATTTCATTATTAATTCGTTTTTAATTGGTAACCTTAGAACAAACTAGATGTTTTTTTCTTTCTTGTCTTAGTGCCCGTTTTTGTAGCCTTTCTTTATTTGACAATTATTGAAATTTTTGCCACATCATTATATTAACTATAAAATAAATGCCAATTTTCTTGATAGCAAAAAAAGCGAAGTCGAGCACTTTATGGTAGAACAGTTTAACGAGGACCCTTACCGCACATCTTCGGTTCCTGCAGACTGATCCAAGTATTCACCCATCCGCACACTGACCGCAGCCAGTGATGCTTGACTTCGGTGATCTGCTGGGAACCGTGTCTTAACGATCCGTCCACTGCTGGACTCTCATCCGTAAAGAGTACTCGACCAAACTGCACATCTGTCCATTTGTTCTGTTCCCGGCACCCGGCACGGCGTCTCCTGTGAACTGGAATTGATGATACGCACCGTACTGGCCGTTGTGCAAATAGACCTCACTTGCACGGTCTCCTGGCCACGGTAATACGCGTGAGCGGGGATCCAATACTTTGCTGTGTGTGCCTAGCGATTTCTCTTGCTATTTGCGTTGGTTATTTCTAGCCTGTAGGAGTATATACTGGTCGTCCGTTGCCGTGTTTGTGGAAGGATGACCTCTTCTAAGCTCCCAGACAACTGCTCAGGTCCTCTAAAATAATTTCCAAGCTCGTGATACCATGCTGTGCGTGATCCAGAACTCCGCAGCCTCGCTGGTCAGTCTTCGATAAGCAGAAAGTAAAATTATCATTAAAGGGTCCTAATTTTCAACCTCTGCCCTGATGGAACTATTTTGGTCATATTTCCCAGATTCTCTTTATGTTTTGGGGATCAGAAATTCAAGTCCCTGAAAAAAAAAGGTAGGGGAGAGTCGGGTAGCCCCGCCCACTTAAGGAATATTGCTTATATTTCTGTATAATATTGAGTAATAATCAATATTTTTGTCTGTTTCTATTGTTTTATCATCTAATTAAATAATGCAAAAAGAATAAACCAAAAAAAGAATAGTTTAACTTGAAAAAATAGAAATTTAAAAAAACATTTTTTACAGCTCTTTTTAAAATGTGTCGGGTAGCCCCGCCCAGTTACAAAAATTATGTTTTCTGACTGTTTTTACAGGTGTAAAGGAAAATCACCAATGTATTGACAATAGATAAACCTCATTTATCATTTTATCACAAAATTATTTTATTTATTACACATTTATATTTATATAACATGGTAAACTATTGTTTACCATGTTACCAGCTGTGTAAATACTTGAAACTTTGAAAATAATCTTTTTTTAATATAACAATTAATGTCCGATGGCCCATTGACTTGAAAAAATATTCTATGCATATGAAATTGACAGTGGGCAGGAGTACCCGCTGGGCGGGAGTACCCGACACTCCCCTATGTTTGTACAGAGAAAGCGCGTTTTTGTGTCTGATTTCATAATTTACGGTATTGTCTGCACTAATTAATTAGCATATTTGTAGTCCCACCTTAAAACAATTGAGATTGACTCCTAGAAAGTAAAGATCCGTTCATTAAATCAAAGGTTATTCAGGGTAGCTCGTTATTATTATTTATTTGTTAGTTTTTTACTCGTATTTATTTATTTATTTTAATTTAATTTAATTTAATTTAATTTAATTTTATTTTATTTTATTTTATTTTATTTTATTTTTATTTTATTTTATTTTATTTTATTTTTTATTTTATTTTATTTTATTTCATTTCATTTCATTTCATTTTTATTTTATTTTATTTTATTTTTATTTATTTATTTATTTTTGTGCTGTCTGCAATTCTAATTCAAAGAATTAAAATACAAAAGTTTGATTTCTCTCATTTTGATTTCTCTCATTTGATTTTTCTCATGGGTATTTTTAACAATTAATTGTAAAAAAATGTGTTGCATTGATTTTTTTTTTTTTCACTTTTCATTCCTACATTTTTCTTATATATAAAAACATTTACTTCTTCAAGTAAATGACAGGAAATTGTTTCAATTTGAAATATATTTCATTTTAATGTTTGAACAAGAAGCTGTGTTTGAAAAATAATACAAAATCTAATGCAATTTTAACTGCCACGAAATATATTTTTAATAAAAGAGTAGCATGAATGAAATTAGTGTTAGCCTGTACGTATGATCGCTTTACCCACAGTGCCCAAAACGCATACAAGTTCTTGCAGATTTAATTCGTTTTTAACTATTGCACTGGAGATTATGAGAAAATCAGATCCATCATAATGTACTGTATTAGTAATTAATTAGTAATTCCTTGATATGAAACTTCCTTAAAATATAAAAGAATAACATTTTTACTAAGTGTAATAATCTGCCACTTTTTTATATTTTTATGCATTTAGTGCAATCCGGTTTTTCAAGTCCGGTGGAAGGTTTTTAAAAGTTAAGTGAAAATTAAATCAAATAGTTTATAGCGCATTCTGTTGAAATATGATGAAAATTGGCATGTTACATTTAAAATTAATCACTCATGTAAAAGGGATATTTCGTATGAAATACAACTTATTGGTTAAAAATTATAAAAATTATGAAAGAAATATTCTATCACATTTTACCTAAAAATTTATAATTAAAACAAATCCGAATAAAAAATTAAAGTTCCAGACAAGCTGGAAGTTTATTAGTGCTAGAAAAAAAATTTTTAAACGATACTAAAATCTTTATTAGAAAACAAAAGAATTGTCATTAAAAAAATTGTATTGTGCATAAATTAAACTACACAACTAATAACCTTATTTATAAACTATATTAATACTTATCGATTTCAAGCTCAAAATCGTTCAGTAATAAGCGAAAGAACTTTTAAAAAATCATTAAATGAGTTTTAAGATACCGCCTACGCCGAAAAGAAATAAATATAGAAATTATTAATAAATTAAATTATTAATGAACTATCTAAAGTTATTAGTTTTTATCAAATAAAAAATATTTGTTTGCTGTTATCTTTTAAGGGAATAATTTTAAAAATTATGAAATTTTGAAAATTATTGAGGGATCACGCGTCCTCCCATGCCTATATGTTCAAAATAGTTAATAAATTTCTTATTTATTGCTACTATAAAATATTCCCTGTATTGCATATCTTCACTGAATTTAAACTTAAATTAAGAAATAAAACTCAATTGAAGGTCAATTCCTTTGTTTCAGTATACTTAACGAATAACAATTTATTTGTATAAATGAGTTTAATGAATAAATAAATATAATGTATTAATAAATATATACTAATAATATATTCTTCATAGTAAAATATTAGTTGAGTGTCATATAATATGTTATGTAAATAAATAAGTACTTTTTTTAAACTTAGATTTCAATTCTTATTTTGAATAATGAGTTCATTGTTTAAGTTTAAAATTATTGTTGCACACACAAGAAAAAAATATTGGTTATTATTTTTTAATGTGTATCCGTGTTTTTGAGAATACTTTCGAATTTTCGATATCCCTATAATTGTTTTGTAAGATCTGTAACATAATTCGTGCTCTATGGGTCATTCATTATTTTGTGTCCTTTGATGCCCGCTAGAAAAATGTTATTTCCTTATTATTATTCGGTACTAGTGCATAACAAATTTTTTCTTTATAGCATAAGCTTAATAGAAATTTTCATGCAAAAAAAAGTTATGACACATTCTAAGAAAAATAGCCTTTTAAGGAATAAAGAAATATAATGAATGAGAACTGAAAATATAATTGCATGAAACATAAAACTAAATATTTCTTTCTCAGAATTGTTTTCCTAAGACGAAATATTTTGTTTCGTTATATTTTACATATGCTTTCAATACTCGGAATTACATTTCGGAAGGAATATAAAAAAATTTAATAGAATTTCTAGAAAGAGATTCTTATGTACCCTTAAGATGTTACCAGGAAACGGACTGCTGCGGAAAATTTGTTTGTACTAATTTTGTGTAAATGTCATGTTGTGTATTTATACAATGCCCTCATGAAGTCTTCAAAAATATTACTTCACAAACATTTATGTTCTTACCTAAAATCTATTATTTTTTTATAATATTTTACTTTTTTTGTGAAATGTTAAAAATATTTATAATGTATAATAAAGAGGTTTAGAATTAGCTAAATGAAGACCACAGGGAAAGAATTCTTTATGCATATAAAAGCCGATTTGGAGAAAAAAAATGCTCGCTAGCAGAAAATATTTATTCTACATTATGACCCCTTTCCACAGTGTAATAGTTGTCAGGGAGAATTGATTTTATTATCCATATTTCCCAAGCTTTTGGAGCTAAGGTTCACAACCACTGATGATGAAGGTGAGGTGGTCGGCGAACATCGGCGTTCATTCGGTTTTGGATAGTATATGCGGTGACGTTAAAAAAATAAGTGTTTTAAAAAATTCCTTTGAACCAATTGACTGAAAGTTACAGAAAGTGATTGTATATTAAAATTGTCTCCGAAATTCTTTTTTCAGAAAAAAATTTTTAGGCGCTTTATTGGAATAAGCGGTTCACATTTGATTAAAGAATGGATGTTAAAATAATATTGAATCTAAGTAAACACAGCTTTAAGAATTTGTCGTTAGAATGGAAAGGTTACTGTAATTGGGTTAATATGAAACAAGCGAAGATTTATGAATAATTTTTGTTGTCGGTAATTCTAAATAATCAGCAGACACCATTGATTATTATTCATAATGAACCGAATGTTTTATTAATTTGTTCCTTTATAAAAAAAATCCCACCAAACTTAAAGAATTGAAATAGCAGCATTCATGAAAGATTTTAATAGGATTCTTCTTGTAAATCTTTAACTTTTGTTCCAGTAGTAGCACTGTACGCACGTCGTACTAGAGCTACACAATGGGCTATTAGTAATGGTCAAGGAAATATGTCCTCGAAAGAGGGGAAGAGGATCGTCCATGAGGATGCTCCGAAGACATACCATCACAATTTCGATCCTCTTTAGAGAGGATGGCTCCCCTTTAGTAACTTGACGACCGACCACCGCGTGAAGTTGAGTACTTTACGATGGAAAGGTTTAGCGAGGACATACCACCTTCCTTCTATCCCTTCGCAAGCTGATGATCAAAGTGATCATCCAACCGCTCACTGACGGCGATGTCAGTGATCTACTGGAAGCTGAATCTTAATGATCTGCCCATTGCGGGACAATGTTTGTTCGAAGTTAAGAAAGAAACGCAATCACAAAAGAAATTATGTTTGAAAGATATTAGGGTATGTTTTAAAAACATGATCATAGATGTCAGAAATTTGTATTTGTTATTTTAATGAAACTGTGTATGTAAACTGTAATTTGCAGTGGAGGTTAAACTTTTCATACCTTTTTAGATCAAGAGAGAAAATTTTTGTTCGAAGTTAAGAAAGAAACTCAATCACAAAGGAAATTACATTTAAAAGATATTAAGGAATGTTTTAAAAACATGATCATAACTGTCAGAAATTTGCATTTGTTATTTTAATGAAACTGTAATTTCCAGGAAACTATTCTTACCCTTTTAGATTACGAGAGAAAATTACTTAGCATCTTTTAGATTCAACTAAAAACCTTGCTTGTTAAATATTTGGTTCTCTATTGAATAAAAAAAGATAAGTTACAATGTATACAACACTTACTTCCAAAACTTAAGCATGATGAGAAAATTGGAATTTTTGAAAGCCTATCTGCTTTGAAGTTGTAGAGGAAGAATGCAAATATAACTACTAATCACGGCTTTGTGTTAAGAAATATACAAGACAGGCAGCAGTATAAGAAGATGGCTTTGTGAAAGTTTACACGAGTTGCATTTAAGTGCAGATAAAAGGTGTTTAGAACATCTCTATAATTTTTTTTCCAGTTAGATTTGTTTCTATGGCTTCCAGATAATGAATAAAAGCTTTTGAACTCTGGTAATGATTTGATGCTGTAGCCAAGCAGAATAAAAGAGTGATTTCAACAATTATGTTTGCACATGAAAGAACTACACACCCGGGTACCACGATATCACGTTCGTAGCAATTCAGAGGGGCGGTCAAGCTCAGATTTGGCCTGGTGAATAAACCTGATGCTAAGCATGTAAGAGTCTGGAGGAAACAAGGTACATGCAAAAAGCCACAGATCATCACCAAATCAAATGCATTCTGCAGTGGTCTAGGCACGAGTTTCAAAAATATATCACACCAACCTGCACGTCTACTGGCGATGTAATTCAACGACTGTCTCCTACTTGCATTTTAATGAATGATAATGCATGTCCTAAGAGATATTTCATTGTTGAGATATCAGTAAAGGAAAATTTTCGAGATGCCCTAGCTGAGGTATGTGTGCACCTTTCTACAGCCACTCTCACAGATTTGGAAACGGCTCTACAAGAGGAATAACAATTATCTTGTAGAGATTAATTGGTAGGAAAGTGTTTGGTACCTTTTCAGATTAATAGAGAAAACTGTTGTTTGATTTAAGATAGAACGATACGCGATCGTAAAACAAACAGTTCTGGAGTTATAGGAGATACATACATGCACACACTTTAATATTATAGTATAAATAAAGAACTTTTAAAAACATAGTATACATATTACAACAAAACATTGTTTCTAAAGTGTATAGATTATCTATCATGGAATAGACAAACAAAATACTACTCGTAAAGGTTCCTTGCTGACAGAAAAGGAATTTTACTTCTCTTTTTACTTAAGGTGAATAAATTCCTTAACTAATTAGTATTTTTTCAATAATTTATGATTTATTTTATCCCTATAAATATAATATATTGATCTTTGATGCTGAATTATTTTAATGCTGTTAGTATTTATAAAGCTTCATCTATGTTCAAGTTTTGGAGACCTCTAGAACTTTTGATTTGCGGAAATCAATGGTAACGGTTTGATTATAAGTGTGAAGAAATTGTGAAAACTTGAGGTAGCTATTTACGAAAAGAATAGTGAGTTTAATGAAAACATTGCAAAACTGTTTGAAATGTTCTTTCCAATGGAATTGTTATTGATGACAAATTTTTAATAAAAAAGTTTCCTGTTTCAAGGGTTATTTATAATGTAATGGTTATTATGGAAGAACATTTAGTATTTTTTTTTTAAATTTTAAAATTTAATGTTTGTGTATAAATTAGAAACTGAAAATAAACTTACTCATTATTCTTTTCAGTTTCTCGTCCACATAGAAAAACTCGTCTTAGATAATAACGAAGGGATTTAAACGCCTGCGTGCAGTTGCCTGAAATAAAATATCAAATTAATAGCTTGAAAAGCTTGAATGACTTGAAAATATTATACATTCACCTATATTTGTGTTCTCAAAATGTTTATAAATTGCCCTTAATATTCAGCAAATTTTAAAAAGGCAGTAGTTTTTAAAATGTATTGTTTGCCAATTTTAAACGTATGGCGATTTAAAGAAAAATTCATATCAAACCGTATGTCTGATGCCCTTTTGAAAAGTCAAATTTCTCTAATTGTTCTATACTAGGTTAAATATATTTCTTTGCATTTGCGGTTTTGAATCCATTCACAAGCGGCATGGTTCCAAACCATAAAAATAAAATTTAACTGGACATTAGATTCAGCTTATGTTAGGCTTTTTGTTAATTTAGGGACATTGGAGTTAGGTAGTGGTTGAGTAGTGTCTTGTCAAGTTAACCGAGAAATGTAGCTTAATTATTTTATTTAATCGTGTAATCTATCGTGAGAAGAGGGAATCACTAGACTGTGTTGAGTTAAGCAGCTTTGTGGTGCTTCCGCCAGTGCGTGAATGGAACATTCGTCTTCTAATAGTCCAGGATCACCAATTATGGAGTGCGGGACACGGAAAGTTCTTTAAATGTTGAAGAAATGCAGGAAATATTGTGCTGTCAAAGACGGGGTACGAACCGCCGTTGAGGCGGTCATTAGATTGACAGATTAGCCAGTTAAAAAAAAATAAAAGGCTTTATTAGATGGGCTTAGTAGGCGTGAATACAATTCGGATTGTTTTACTGTATAAGATGAAAACCAACAAAAAATGATTTTTCCGGCAGTTAAAAATTTGAATACCATCTTTTTTATGGCAATTAATGTGGTAAAATAATGATTAAATGAATTAATTAAAACAATTAATTACTTGTAGAGAAATTTCTAACACTAAATTTATGGAATGAATAAATTTATTAAAATTTCCATCTTCAAATGCATTATAAGAAGCAATTTGCTTCATTAAATAAAATATGGTGAGTGATATCTATTTAGAAATTCCTTTCTTAAATATTGTTTCTTCAATGAATTTGAGGAATAAGCTAAGGATTTCTTAGAATTTGTGAGGGATGAAGAAAAAAAAACAGATTTAGTGCGCAGTTGTATTCTTTTACTACGAAAATACTAAGTAACCACAGCACTGATTTTTAGTTTGAAGGATACTTAGAATTTTGTTCAATATGTTGAAACAAGTCTTGCGAAATTATTCTATGAATGATAAAACTTTTTCCTTATAATATTAGTAACTATATTGAGATTCATTTTTGTAGGAATGGAAATCAAAAAGCATATATATATGTCAAAATATATATTTATCAAAATATTAAATAGATAATCCAAATATATAATAATATAAGTCAAAATATATAAGTTTTTAAGCATATATATGCTTAATAACTTCTGCTTAAAATTAAAATAAAACTGTATCTAAATTTTAAAATACATAAAAATTGACTTCATTGCTCAATTGGACTATTAGTCGAATTTTGCGAGATTAATGACCTCAAATTTGCATGAAATCTCCATCTACAATATGTGGGTAACCTTTAAAAATATGTGGATTAGATTACAGTGATATCCACTATATAAGCGATTTTCAGAAGATGTGCCATGGATTCCTAGGGATTCATGGAAGGGTCATAGGGGATTCGGGAATTAGGATTTTTAACCAGTTATGACTTCTGATACCCCTGTAGTTATAATCAAATGAAATCAATAAACCATTTATTTAACACAAGCGCAACTCTCGTTTTTCGTACTGTAAGAATCTATAAATCAGTTGTGAACAACACTACAAAATCTTGCCCAAAACAGCAAGACAAACAATGACATAAATAATAAAGCTAAAATAATTCAATGTTTTTTATTCATTATTATTTAGTTCTCTTCCCGGTCGCTTTTCGTTATTAGATTAAGCATATAAAGCGTATTTGGTTGTTCATCAAATTAAAATAAAGATTAACTGTATCACCTGATAACTCTTATTTAAAATTTACCACAATCAAACAACTTTCTTATATTTTCGAGGAGCTACAAAAAACACTTTTCCACAGTGTCCATCATAAAAAGACAAAGTTTTGCTATAGCTGTAATAGGTACCAAATTTACTCATATTTAAAATTTACCGCAATCAAACAACTGTACTTATGGAAGAGTATATTTGGTACATATAAAAACTTCATCAGTTTCCATAATGCCAGTACTGCCTACTACCGAAATTAAGCACAAGTATCAACAATAGTATGGCGACTTTTTAATGTTATCCATAACAAATTTCTCCATACAAATGACTTTTCCTCCATTAATTTTACTTTTTAGAACATAGCTTATTTATTTTATTTTAATGATTAACTATAACCCTTCTCGGTGGCTTTACGTTATTGAGCTAAAGAAAATAAATAGAAAGGAGAGGAAGTCCAACTCACTGCGATACCAGAAAAACAACTTACAGAGTGAGCAACATACTCAGAATTAGCAGAGCACTACGATCCAGTCCATACACATGAGAAGTCAAGTCAAGGTCAGGAGGTACAGTCCGCGAAAAAAAAAATAAATAAATAAAAATATCACCCTAGGTAACTTTCGTTCTTATGATCGGATTTTCACGTACTTAGTGCCAAACTTAATGGTTTCTGGGGGTGATCTCAGATATGTTAATTGTTTAGTGCTAACTCTCAATTAAGTTACGAAATCGAACACAAAAACGTACTTTCTCTGAATAAACATATATATTTTTATCTTTTCAATCTTCTTTTATCTCTTCAATCTTGTTTTTCAATCTTCAAAATATAGGGGGCAGCCGCAATTGAGAAATGTGGTCCCCATAGTTTGGTCAGGAGAGCGATTTAAAGTTTGGACCCCTTAATGTTAATTTCACTTTTTGCATTTTTAGTCATATTTTTAAAAACTAATTAAGAAAATTAAGAAAAAAATTGCACCCACTTAAGTAACCCAGTCATCCAAAGATAATTTCATGCAAAAATAATTTTTAATAATTATTTCTTATTTTTTATCATTTAATTTAATTGAGGATGAAAAAAAAATTGAACTATAAGGTATGAATTTTTTATACCATATTAATCTACATATTTTTCAATTGAAAAATCAAAAGTTTCTACTACTTTTATATAGTAGAAGCTGAGAAAAATTTAAATTAATTATTTTTACAAAATAATTTGGCGACAATGAAGAAATAATTAAATGGGTCGATTTAATTAAAATGTGATTAACTTACGAGGAACTTGACTTCGCGGATGTAGCTTAAAATTTCATTCATATTTTTTTCGCTATTAACCGATTGCTAATCCTTTTATTTTTGGTTTTTTTTAAACTACACTGGTTATCATAAATTAAGGAAAAATCACAAAAATAGCGATAACTCTTTCAAAAGTAAGCCAAACCGTGCAAAATTTGCATATGTTGTCCACTAAGAGTAGCTGAGTAAAATTGCAATATGCAAATTAGTGGCGCTGCACTCGGCTTACGTCATCTGCCTGGAGCATAAAAGTCCAAGTTTGAGAGAAAGCACACAAATTTTACTGTGATTGCGACATTGAAAATCTGAGATAGCCAATTCGTAATAATGACCTCTAGGCATCATTTGCCTGAAGAACTACGATGGAGAGCCATCGGGAGACTAGAGGCAGGGCAGAGTCAATCAGAAGTGGCCAGATGGCTAAATGTGAGTCCATCTGTGGTTCATAGACTTTGGAGGCAATTTCAAACCACAGATTCGGCATCTAGGAGGTTCAGTCAAGGACGGCCAACTGTTACGACCAGTGCCGATGACCGATATTTGACATTAAGTGCACGCAGGAATAGAACCGCTACTCCGACACATCTTAGATCCTCTCTTGCTGCAGCCACCGGAAGGTTGGTGTCAACGTCAACTGTGCGCAGAAGGCTCCACGAAGGTGGTCTGTATGCGAGACGACCAGCCATTTGCGTGCCGCTCACATCACGCCATAGGAGAGACCGTTTGCAGTGGGCCCGACAACATGTCCACTGGACGTCAGATCAATGGAGGCCTGTTCTCTTTACGGATGAGTCCAGGTTTAGTCTAGAAAGTGACAGTAGACGTTATTTGATATGGAGAGAACCTGGGACCCGTTATCATCCATCAAACATCCGTGAAAGAGATGCATACGGAAGAGGCAGTGTCTGTGTTTGGGGAGGCATATCCTTAGGAGGGCGCACATACCTCCATGTCTTTCCAAGGGGAACCGTGAATGCTCAGGTTTATCGAGACAACATCCTTGATGCTTATGTGCGCCCATATGCCGGGGCAATTGGTGATTGCTTCCTGTTACAGGACGATAATGCAAGACCACACAGAGCTCGCATTGTTGATGATTATCTTCAACAGGAAACAATTACTCGCATGGAGTGGCCAGCTCGATCCCCGGACTTGAATCCTATCGAGCACGTTTGGGATGCTCTAGGGAGGCGTGTATCTGCCATCAATCCGCCCCCTCAGACCCTTGCCACGCTTGCAACTGCTTTACAAGAGCAATGGCTCTCACTTCCTATTGAACTGATAGACCGCATAATTGAAAGCATCACACATCGCTGTTTGTGCTGTATTGCTTCTAGAGGCAATCATATTCCATATTAAAGGTACTTTTTCTATTGCAAACCGATACTTCCAATTTGTTTATTTTATACATGTGCTAATTTCTATACTACTATTAATGTCTGATAATTTCTTTTTATGTTGTTTAATACCTTACTATGTGTTGTATATTGTGGGTAAGTTTCATAAAATTCCATGTGTAATTTCTTGAGTTATCGCGATTTTTGTGAATTTTCCTTAATTTATGATAATCAGTGTATAAAAAGCGATGTTTATTTTTTAGGCTTCTAATAATTTATTTGCAATTTAGTAAGGAAATTTGAATAAAACATTCTATTGAATAAAAAACATTTTATTGAGCGAATGTCGAGTTTTATAAAAGCATGCCTTCAGATAGAATATGATTATACACCAAATTGTGCTTATTTAATGTGACTATTTTTTTTTTAGTTTGTTTTCTCAATAACTGATACAATTTCAATAATATACATGAGTATGCATAACTTTGGAATAATATATTTATCAATTTCTTTAACATATATTTCATAATTATTAATACGAATACGTAGTCAACATTTTTAAGTATCTTAAAATCTCTCAACATCTTATATATCGCCTTAACCTTAAAATAAATTTTTCAATTACCTGTCCGGGAGAGTTTCGCAGAACTATTTTAACACAGATTTAATTAAATTTTAACATTTTTAAAAATCTTACTCTTTACGCTACTACGTAGAATATTTCTTCATTAATATACTAATAAATTTTTTTAGTACTTTAATTTAGATTTTCTTTAAAGTAAACTTCCTTTTTAAATTATTGTCAAGTTTTTTTTAAAAGAATTATTGTCTGGTAGCTAAGAATAAAACCTTGTTAAGAAATTAAAAACATTCCACTGCTTAAAATTATTTGATGCAAAACAACTGATTATTTACCGAGCATACTATTTTTTTTAGAAAAAAGAATAAAAATTATTGATTGTCTTTTTTTTTCTTGTGATTCCAACATAGATTATCTAAAATAGTGTTGATCTTTTATAAGTCACTATAGTTTCATAAGTCAAAAAGCTGTCGAATACGTAGCCAAAATTTTTAAGCGTCTTAAATTATCTCAATATCTTAAATGTCGCCCTAACATCATAGTTGTGAAATTAAATTTATAATTATCTTACTACGTGTGATTCACAGAACTATTCAACTAATTATTTCATTATATCTTTCACTCTTTCTTTATGATACCATGTATATTTTTCCGGATAATATACTAAACTATTTTGTTTAATTTTTAACTTTAGCACGATTCCCAAGATATTTTTGTAGTGGAATTCCAAGCGTAACAGAGGGAAAATCATACAGGTATTTTATCCTAAAAAGTGTATTAAATGTATGTGAAAACAAAAAATTTTGCAATAATGTGCTACTTTAAGATGCAATGTTTAATTTAATTACATAAAATAATAAAAGAGCCTCATAATTTAATTGCCAGGTAATTCAAAGCGTCAGTAACAGAGGGGACTAAGAAAATCCCACACTTTAGACATTCACTGTTATTTCCGCTATATTCTGTGATTTTAAACATCCCAAACATTATTTGTAATTTTTTTTCATTATCGCATTTCAAGGTAAAGTAAATTATTATAAGACTTCTTAAATTGCTTACTCATTTTTATTAACTTCAAAAAATGCAATGTAGCAGAGGGGGCATTTTGCAAATTTGACAAATTGTTACAGGGAAATATCATGTCATTTAATTAAGCAATGCACCTTAAAGAAGCATATTATTGCACAATTTTTTGTTTTTACACATATTTAATACATTTTCATGACAAAATACCTGTGTGATTTCCCCTCTATTACGCTTGGAATTCTACTACTGGTTTCAGTTGGCGTGGAATTCAACTGTAGTATAATTTGTTATTGGGAAAATTCCTTATTTTGCTAAGCGACAAACACTAAAAATTGAAATTTGTAAAAGGATTACGAAGCCGTGCCAATTTTAGAATCATCTGATTTAAAAAAAAAATGCTATAAAAAATTCGCAATTTTCGAACTTATTTTGATAAAGAAAAAAAAATACGAGGCGAGAAGGTTAACATACTTTTTAGAGAAATTGTAAGAACCAATTTGTCCTACATTTCGTCCTAATAGGAAAAAAATGATATTGCTTCAAGGAACCAACACAATAATTTCATTATTTCCAGAATGAAATCTGCTTGATCGAAACATATTATTCCTTGAAAATTACACGAGGGAAAAATTAACTTTTATTATTTATCTAAGCTTATTCCATTTATTTAACGATAGCGGTATCAAGGTTAAAGACATGCGATGAAAGCCCCGTTTACTAATATACTATAAATACATTAAATCATGTACCTTGAAATATTTATTTTAAGCAAATTGTTTAATAATTTTAAGCAAATGAGGATGTGAAAATAAATGTGAAAATGAGGATGTGAAAATTAAGCAAATGAGGATGTGAAAGTATGCCCTAAACTATATGTAGAATAAACTTTGGAATCGATATATAAAAAATACCTACTCTAACTTGTTTGAAACAGCTGTCCTACCCAGCAAAAACAAATCTGTAGGTCCAGCTCCACAAAACTGCTGTTTGCCACCAGCTAAAGCGACGGGTCTGTGCCGGCAAAAGTCACTTTCAACTGTACTAAAGTGAATGGCTGGCCTTCTGTCGAGCCAACAATACCGGCCTATCGATGGCCGGTAGTACCTAACCCAGCAGTTACTGTCTAAAACGCGCTGGGTGAGTGATTGCCCGACATTTTCCAGTAGAGGGTAATCAATGAATCAATAATTGAGGGCCAGCAATTTATATACACCCAGCAGCATCCCTTTAGTTTATAGAGGTTTACGAGAGGTCATTGACCTAGTTACAGGAGTAATTAAAACCCACAAACCNGCGGCAGCAGACAACTTTAACTTGGTGGCCCATTGGGTAGATACAGACTGACGGGATGCGGCTGTTTGTAATGTACAGGCCCAACACTTCCTACAATGTTGGCAAAAGTTCATAGGGTGGCCCAGCAATCAACCCAGCTGACAGTAATTTGCACCTTCACTTTTCAATCAGTACCGTCAGTAATTTCGAAGATGGCCAGAACTTATGTTTTTGCTGGGTAGTAACTATTTAATTTCGATTCCTGGTGCTAGGGGACATTCCATTTTCACATTCGACTTTTGAAATTTCAATTGCAAACGGAATTCTTTATGTCTTTAAAAATTTTAAGGCTTGCAGCAAAAAAAAAAGTACTGCTTTGATTTTTTTGCAAAGTAGTGAATTATTATTAATTTCAATCTAAGAACCTGTGCCTATAACTTATGAAAAACTTATTTTAAAATCAAATGAAATAATTTAGCTAGTTAACTAGTAATGTTGTGTTACTAAATGGATAATCCCAAGAAACTGAATCGAAAATATAAAAACTTCATTGATTTAAAAAATAATAGATGAAAATAAAAATAGACTTGTTTTGAGCGTCCAGTAATTAAAGTCACAAGTTATTCAAGCCTGACAAGTCTTGAGAATGGGCGCTTATATTTGAATGCTTGTTGCATGACAACTTTTACTTCCTTCTTCATATTTTTTGAAGCCTGGTGAGTTTTTATCATCAATTATACTGTTTTACATTTGGGTCTTGATCATTATTTTGATAAGGATTTTACACTCGTTAAAGTAAGCATATGCATTTTAATATTTTAACAGGATTCATGTGTTGTTTTAAAACGTAAGAGCATCAATATTGTAAAAGTTATTTTAACTTTAAAATTCAAATTTTGAGACCAGATATTTTGAGTTAACGAAATTAAATATTTTATCTTTTAAGTTTTTGTTCCCCCCATTTCAGTATCTTAAGGATCTTACGAGCTCTGTTTAAAAAGAGAGTATCGTATCAGATATATATATAGAAGGATGCAAAAATAATCATAATGGCAGTATTTGATGGTTAATGTAGGTTATTGTAATTGAAGAATATGCTGCGCGACATTTTATGGTGAATTTGCGAACGTAAGTTTCGGAATGTATCGAAACATGAGGATGGTATTTGCAAATCATCTTTATCCGAAGAAAACCATGTAACCTATATATCTAGCAGAAAGCGATAAAGCGATTTTTTAAACAATAAATCAAACAATATGCGACATATTATTTCAATATCTTATTCTTAAGCATAACATATTTCAATCTCTTTAAAATGCCACTAAACATTCAGCAATTCCTTGAGTTATAGAAAAAAGAAATATCGTAAATTATCGAAAACCTTGTGAATGTGCATTAGAATTGCTATGCAATCTATATTTTATTTTTCTTCAGGCACTTTTTTTTTCTTCAAATTTTCTTGTCTTGATTAAAGCTGTAAAATTCTGAAAGCTTAGAAAATCATAAATAATTTGCAAATTGATTCAAACTTTCTATTTAAAGGAGATTATAAAATAAAAAAAATTTGCTTTTAGGACAGAATATTGTTAAAAATTGTCTATTGCCTAGAAACTTCGAGATATTTTATATTAACTATTAATTAAACCTCTCCGAGCAATCCAGAACATTATTTCAATTTTTTTTGCTTCAATTTGGTTGCTTAGCAACCTAGTAAAATTAAGTATTCCTCTTTTGAATTAATGTATGGGTTATCTTAAAATATTGATTTGAGGCGGCGTCTTTTCTTAGCTGTTCTCTGCACTATCGTCAAATATATAAACTACCCCCCCCCCCTATTTCAAGGATCAGGATTCCAAGTATGTTAAAAAAAATATTTGTTTATTCAGAGAAAGTACGTTTTTGTGCCTGATGAACACTCAACGAAAATTACTTCGCTTTTGGCCAAACCGTTTTCTAGTACATGCTAACATTTCATCAAAAGGGCGAAATAATTAGTGTAAATTCTGCGAGGAAACGAATTTCGTTAACAGTAAAAAAATATTCCATTATTCCATTTTTCTCAACAAAAAAAAAATAATAATAAAAAACCTTGTAGTGCCTAATGTATCTAACTTTTCTAATAATAACTTTATCGTGGGCATCATATAGCTGGGTCAATGTCACTTTAATAACACAAGGAAGACAAATAGAACAGAGAGAAAAATTACATTCATGTCCGAAGCGATTCGAACCTGGGATCTCTTCCTGGTGCGAGGCCGACTTCCTGTTCGCCATACGAGTAGGTTTGACTTCATCTAAAGCAAGTAGGTCTTCGTTGCTGAACATTGCTGAAATTAAAATCAATAATTATTCAATATTCAGTTTTATTACACAGATCTTAAACTTCTAATGTATCAAGAATAATTAGTTTATTTAAATCCAAAAGACTTGTAGTGTCTCTAATTGCATTGGATATTCTATGGCACAGGCTTTGAGATAAACCTTTCTTAGCTAAAGTAACTAGTTATTATAGATTAGAGTAATACAGTATCAGGATTATTTTCCTTACCATGACGCCAATATAATCATTTCACAGAATAGTGATTTTGTCAAAACAATGTTTTTAATATTATAATTGATAATATGGCTATTTAAAGAGGCTAAAAAGGCTGATTTCATTTAGTTATTTTTATAAAGTGGGTGATTAAAAAAAATATGCAATTGGAATCAGATTTATTATAGCATATTTTACCATTCCCAAAGTAATTAAATTAAATGTAGGAAAGTTTAAAAAGAGTTGCTGTATTTTTGTTATTTACTTAACTAACTTTATATATAATACTTAGGAAACAATAAATTAGTGACCATATCTTTTTTTATTAAGCCAAAAAATGTTTTTTTTTTAATTTTAAAAAATGTTCGGTCTTTAGAATGCTCGGTCTTAATATTATAAGAATTCTTGTCAAATTGGCAGTAAAGAATATGTACAATATGTACAATGAGCAAGTATATATATATATATATATATAATCTAAGAACCTGTGCCTA